TTCGAAAGGATTGATGGCTGACCGAGTTTTTTATTTCTTAAAAATGCCCAATACTTTTTCCAAACTGTCGACGGTTGGTTTCTGACAAATAGATGCGTTGTAGCGTGGAAAGATCGACGTCAAAACAGGCCTTGGTCGCTCAACGGGTTAGAGCTTGCGCACCAGGCGAGGTGGGGTGAAATGCGGGTTCGAGTCGCGCCTGACGTAAAAGCTTTGCTTGTCACTCTAAACGATTGGGTATATCTATAACGTCATTCCATTGCCAAAAGCGGCTAAATGGAATCTTTGTCTTTCGTTTTCACTTCATCGAATATGGTCGTGCTTGTGATAATGATCGCGTGACTATTTTACAATCACGAAATTTTTGTTTTGTAAGATTCCAGAGATGGTCGTCACCGTGCAAGCAGAGAAACCACGAGCTGAGGTGGATTGCACTGAAGAAGAAGAGGTACGAGATCAATACGCTCAGTCTTTTTGTTCAGAAAATTTTGTTTATACTTTAATGAATATTCATTACTTCATCTTGATTACTTTATTGTCTCCTTTGAGTGGTCCAGGTCGAAGGATAATCGAATTTCAAAGTCTCGAGAATATCATAGGAACTATAGAGTCTATAAAAAGAGCGCATGTGGCGCAGTGGTTAGAGGTGCTCTGCGTCGCACACGAGGTCAATGGTTCGATCTCGCGCTCATGGCTCACCAAGCCATCCATCCCTCCGGGGTCGGTAAATTGGTACCAGGCAGGTCTCAGGCTTGTCTGGGAGGATAAGCAGCACTGACTCGGTTCAGCGGGAGGCCACCGCGAGTCACTGTAAAGGCCAGATATGCATTCAATCAGCTCAAAACGAAGTTAAAAATTGAAGTTGAATGCATGGTGCATCCCTCAGGGATTGATCAACGCCGAGAGCTTTATCCTTATCCTTTATAGAGTCTATATTTATCATACTTCATGCTGCCCTTGCCCACTGTTTTCTCATAGAAAAGATTGCAGGCCGACTTCATACAGGACGTTGAACAGCTACAGAACCATGGAATAGTATGCCTCTTTTTCTTCTCATTGAATGCTATCAGTGATTTCTAATTGTTACCATTATGTTGTATAGAACATGGCAGATATCAAGAAACTTCAAGCTGTTGGAATTTGTACGGTAAAAGGCGTAATGATGACAACGAAAAAAACGTCTGGCTGAAGTCAAAGGTCTCTCGGAAGCCAAAGTGGATAAAATAAAGGAAGCAGCTTGCAAAATCATGGTTAGTGATCCTCCTGATATTCCCATCGCTGTAGAGTGATGAGGCGGGACTAGAACCCGCACCTCACTCTTTACGGAAATGCGTGCTCTATCCGTTACACTACTGACGCCCATTTTGCACATCGCTCTTTTATACGCTTCAGCGCATCCATCTGCCAGCCTCCAGCCGTCAACGGCCTGGTCCGGGTAGTCGGTCTCGACATAAAATCCAGTCACGCTGACAGATATTGGGTATCAAAGATCAAACAAGATTTTTTTATTTAACCGCTTCTAACGGTGGTATGATGTTACAAATATACACCTATTGATGCGCTGAAGCGTAGAAAAGAGCGATGTGCGAAATGGGTGTCAGTAGTGTAACGGATAGAGCACGCATTCCCGGAAAGAGTGAGGTGCGGGTTCTAGTCCCGCCTGATGCGAAAGTTTTGCACATCACTCTACATCAATAGGTGTATATTTGTAATATCATACCACCGCTAGAAGCGGTTAAATAAAAAGAATCTCGTTTGATCTTTGATACCTCCTGATATTGTTCCTAGTTTACGCCATTCTGTGTGCAAGCCGAGTGGCTTGTCTGTTGTGTCGTTCTTTTTTTTCAAGAATCTATTTATTGGAGAACAAAAAAGAGATCACAGTTGCTTGCTTTCAGAAGAATGGCTTCATTACGGCACTGGAAGTGTCTACAAGACGTAAACTGTGTTTTAAAATATCAACTGGAAGCTTAGAGTTTGACAAATTACTGGGAGGAGGCATTGAAAGCCAAAGTATCACTGAGGTGTTTCGGAGAATTCCGCACTGGAAAGACTCAGCTGTCACATACATTGTGTGGTAAGTTAGCTGTATGAAATTGACGTTGTTTCACTCTACCCAAGCAATAGTGAGGTTTACCTCGTCTTTGTTAATCTATTTAGGACAAGAATGGAACGATTTTCTGGTCTTTCTCCTTGTTTACTCAGAAACGTTTCTGCTCTATAGTACGGCGTGCATGTGGCGTAGTGGCTAGGGGCTCTGCGCTGCATGCAAGTTCGATGATTCGATCTCGCGCTCATGGCTCATCAAGCCATCCATCCCTTCGGGGTCGGTAGATTGGTACGAGATGGGTCCCAGACTGGTATGAAGGATAAGCAGCACTGACTCGATACAGCGGTAAGCCACTGCGAGTCATTGTAAAGGCCAGATTATGCATTCGATCTCCTCAAAGGAAACTGAAAATTGAAGACGAATGCATGAGAGATCTCCCAGGGATTGATCAACGCTGGAGAGCTCATTTTTTTCAATACTCTTGAGAGAAAAATTCAGTGGTAGGTTTGGATCTGTTTTGTATGTTCGCTTTCGTTTGAGATCGATTGTTACTTTCAACATATTTCTCACCGACTATATGAAGGATTTGGTAGATGTATGTCAGTTTGGTTTTCATTTATTTGTGAATTATTTTAGCCACCTGTCAACTACCAAACGGCAGCTATCGTGGTGGAAAGGTTATATTTATCGATACTGAGAACACGTTGTGCGTTCTACGTTCTTTTTGGGCTTTATTTTCATCAATATAATTATTAGGAAATCTGTACATTTCTTTGATGAATTGATAATGCACGGTTTCAGTCGTCCTGAACGTTTGCGTCCCATCTGCGACAGATTCAACATTGAACAAGAAGCGATGCTTGAAAATGTGCTATACGCTAGAGCTTTCACGTCTGATCACCAGGTAAAGATTGGTTCACAACGCGGATATTGAAGCTATTTCTGCTGCCTGATGAACACTATACTGACCGGTGAATTAGATTATTGTGGTCTGTTCTGTTAAGCCGTTCCGAGGTGTTAGTGATCTTCTTTATTGGATATTGGCGAAGCAATATCATTACGGTTAGTAATGCAGCATGAATATTACGATAATCGTGGTGGCTAACCTTTCGGCGGGTCGCCTTCTCCAGAGAATGGAAAGGTCAGATTGGTCTACAATCCATTCAGCCAAAACCTCAAAACCCCAGCAGAAAATGTAAGTTAGAATTTTGGATCGCATAGTAAAAGCTCCTTTTTGAAACACTCATCAAATCAATTCAAGTGGTTCAATCAAAAACACCTGCGCGTAAAACTCTAAAGCCTTTTGGATACATAGCAGAGGACAAAAGATGAACCGAAAAAAGGAGTGCCTCGTAATCACGCGTGACCTCGAGCCGTACCTCAGGCTGATCTTTGCGACCTGAGTCAGGCACAGCCCATTGATGAACTGACCCTATGCGGCTGGTCTTCAATTAATAATTGATAGACCCAAACATCAAAACGGTGAGTGTTTTAAAATGAAGCTTTTACTATGCGATCCAAAACACATCTCTTAACGTTTTCTGCTAGGGTTATGGAGGTTTTTGGCTTAGTGGATTGTGGATCAATTTGATCTTTCCAGGCTCTGACAAAGCCGACCCGCCGAAACGTTAGCCACCTCGAATTTTGTATATTCAAGCTGCATTACTGACTATATTGTTGTATGCTTCACTAATATTCAATAAATAATATCAATAACACCTCGGAACGGCCTAAAACAGAAGAAAATTCTCATTATTCAAACTATGCCGAGGTTAATAGATAATCGGTTCTGGGATTTATTAGATTATTGTTATTATACTTCTCTTATCTTTTTAGATGGAGCTGCTAGACTATGTCGCTGCCAAATTTCATGAGGAGATGGGTATCTTCAAGTTGCTTATCGTCGATTCAATAATGGCTCTATTTAGGTGAATATTTGAAGCTGATGTTTGTTTTCGTTCTTTAATGAGTTCGTTGTACTTTTAGAGTGGATTATTGTGGCCGAGGTGAGCTTGCTGAGCGACAACAAAAACTGGCTCAAATGATGAGCAGACTTCAAGTACTGTTCTTGGATCACTGTTTTCTGATTTCTCTTTGCTCGGCTCTTGGTTTTACCATTGATTTTGTTCCTGATCATATCTGAACATCTTAGTATTCGTTGAACAAGTTTCTACCCCATGAATTGCAGCATTGTTATATCAGACAAATAAGTTATAGAGGCAAATTTTTACTACGAGATTCTTGCCCAAAAGTTCCGTGCCTTATCAGGGCTTTGGTGTCATTGTTTCCTATTTTTATTAATATTTTCTGTTTTCTATGAGCCATGCACTTAGAAGTCTATTGGGAATGACTTGATTCTCATTAAAAGAAACGATTACGATGACATTCGTAGTTCGGCCAAGTTTTCTAGGGGCTGTGAGGTTTTGAGTGCATAATCGACAAAGATATTTGCTTTTCTTGTCAATGCATTCGATTCTTTGCACGGAAAGCATATTGATTCACGGGAGAAAAAGTTTCCTCTATGCACACATATTTTGAAGTTGTCGACATTTTCATAGTTCAGAAAATAGCTGAAGAATACAATGTGGCCATATTCATCAGCAATCAGATGACTGCCGATCCGGGTGCTGGTATGACGTTCCAGGTGAGCTCAAATTCGGACCAGATTTTATCCTTTACTTATTTTCTCGAACAGAACTTTATAATTTTGTAAGCAGAATAATTTCTGTGGTAGTAAACATTTCTGAGTCTATATCAAATGATGTTGAGTGATGACCAAAACTTTGCGGGCAGGACTCGAACCAGCATTCCACCCTCCGGGTCGCGTCCTTTAACCAGTTGGGCTATCGACGCCCTTTTGCCACCACTCCTACGCTACAGCGCATCAACCTGTCAGCAGCCAACCGTAAAGATTGATGCGTTGTAACGTAGAGAGAGTGCTGGAAAAATAGGCGTCGCTAGTGCAACTGGTTAGAGCACGCGCCCCACAAAGGGTAAAATGCGGGTTCGAGTCCCGCTTAACGTCAAGGTTTTGCTCTCAATCAATATCATCGGACGTATTTGAGATATTATATTACGCTCAGAGCGGCTAGATAAAAAGAATTCCGTTTGGTCATACATTTCTCAGTTTAATTTCTTGGCTGCTGATAACTAATAATCCTCCTGTATAGAAGGTATGGATGATCATCCAATATACTTGTAATAGATCTGGTAGAATTTCCTTTCATCTGTGCCTCTTCATGGTTTACAAGTCTTAATAGGCCCGATGTTGTATCTGATTGTCTTCGTACATGTACAGCAATGATTTCGTCCATCGGCAGCAACCCGAGCTGCATGTCGTTATTCCTTTGAGAAACGACCAAATATGAACACAGTCATGTCAAGAATCGCCACTGATTTAAGGAGACAATCTTGTCAAACTTCGCACAAGAAAGGGGTCGGCGACATAAT